GGGGGGGAGAGAACAGCCCTTCCCAGGCTTTTCCCCCCACCTCCCTGCTCAGGTAGGGGGAATGGCCAGGCTAGGATGAGGCAGGGGGGTTAAACCCCGTCCCTGGCCCACACCAGACTGCAACTGGAGTATGCCTGGCTGTGGGAAGGCAACCCCACCAAGGCAACCCCACTGCTTGAGTGGCATGGCCAGGCCCTGGCCTTGGGTCAGTAAGCTGAGGTGGAGAGGGGTTTAAACCCCCTCCCTGGTCCATATGGGACACCCAGCCAGGGTCTGCTGGGGGGAAGCCGAGGGAGGGAGAAGAGAAGCCCCTTCCAGGCTCTCCCCCTGCTCAAGTGGAGAGGTGGAAAAAGAGGGTTTCAATCCCCTCCCTAGCCTGCACAAGAAGTGCTGCCGGGAGGGGGGACAGCAGTCCCTCCCAGGCTCCCCCCACTCAAGGGAAGGCTGGGAGGGGCTGCTTCCCCCTCCTGGCATACCCCTGCTAAGGTCCTGCGCGTGTCAGGCAGGGGGCTGAACCCCGCCCCCTGCTCTCGGCCTCAGCTTCCAGCCCTAAATTGGGGCCTGGCCACATCCCTCATTATCTGTTCTAGTGGAGTGCAGGGGGGAAGGCTAGGTGGGGCTGCTCAACCCCTCCTAACCCCCGCCCCCTCCCAGGCAAACCCTGGCTGGGGTCCTGTGTGGGACAGGGAGGGGGTTTACACCCCCGTCCCCACCTCAGCGTGCTGGCCATGGCCAGGGCCTGGCCACAGCCCCCACTCATGGGGGGAGAAGGAGGGGTTGCCTCCCCCTGGCCAGAAAGACTCTGGCTGGGCTCTGGTGAGGGCTAGGGAGGTGGGTTCAGGCTTTTTGACCATCTGTATTTAGTCATCATGACTAAGTCTTGTCTACACATGGACATTCACCATGATAGATACTGCAGAAACAGCTATGCTGCAAATTATTGCAGAATAGTTCTGACAAGCAGTTACAGAATCAATCATAAAGTGATTGATTCTGTAACAGCATGTCCTCCTGGGATCCAGTGGAAGCAATTTGGGAATGGCTTGTTTTGCAATAGTTATGTTGGTCAATTTTTGCATGTGGACAAGTCCGAAGTTACTAAATGCACCACTGCATTGAAGACAAGGGAAACTGTAGATTTTTAAAAAAAGCTTTCCTACCAAGATTTTTAAAAACTTCATTACTAATAACCATTTGGTAGCTAGCTGCTTTTACTGTTCTAACTGAACAAACAGGATGCTTGCCAAAAGCAATAAAAAAGTTTAATCAATGTAGTGGTGGCCTATTCCACTAAAATGGTCCAAACACTAATAGATCTATACATTAGTGCTATGGAATTTATCCCTTTGTGTTGGGATGGTAAACATTAACATTTGCATTAACTCTTTTTTTTTTTTTTTTATCAGGTAGTTAATTCAGACTTGTAACTAAACCTTACAAATTACAAAGAGGTGCTCATTTAGCACACGTATCACAATAAGCTACTTCGTCCCACAAACACAGGCATATTAAAAATAAAAGTTCTTCTGTACAAGGGTCCTAATCAAATCCATTATTAACCTAGTGCCCACCATTTTCCCAAGTATTCATAAGTGTGGAAAAAAGCCCCAAAGAAGTAAATTAAGGATATTTTGGATGAAGGAGTAGAAAAAATTCTGGGACTGAGGAACCTTATGAAGCAGGGGTGTCAAAGATACTTACTAAAACAGCCAATGGGAGAGGAATAAACCCCATTCTCCTGGAAACAGAATCACTATAATCTGTGTATGCCTGGGACAGAGGGAGGGAAGAGGAAAAAAAATATAGTCTTAGTTCTTTTCCCTGGTATATGAACCATCAATCAATGCAACAGAACAAGTTTACCTTACTTTACATATACTAGGAACGTATTAATCACTTAACAAATATTACAATAATAAATTACACAGCTAGCTTGATTTGGTAAACAAGTGTTGTCAGAGAAATCTGCAGGGACCCAAAAATACAGATCCCCATTTGTGCATGAATACTATTAACACTAATATGACTAGCAAAATTAGCCAGAGAGTTCTAAATCAAGAGCAACTGGGTCTTTGTATCTGAACAGGCCAAGGCACTTCATCTGTGCTCTACTGTCAGTCCATTTAGGGAGAGACGTCTGTTATCAACTTAGTTTTGATTCCCCAAATATCACATACAAAAATTCAGAAAAGAATAAAGATGTGATTATCCAAAGCACCACAGAGGCAATGTAAAGTAATTGTAAATGCTTCTATTATTAGGGTCTAGATAACCCTTTTCATTATTAACCATTTAAAGCCTATATATTCCTGCTTGCAATCCCTCATAAAATAGGCCTATTATGAATAAGAATTCTCATATACTGTTGACACATCTTTCATGCTGAAGAAGGGTAATAGCAGATAATCTCCATTTTTCTCAAACTGCCATCACTCAAAGAAATAAAAGTTTAAAGATAATCCAATTCATTCCTTAGAGTACAAATATTGAGATTCCATTAGTAATTCCAGTAATTTAACACTGCTCTATGAGAAGGTTTGCTTATGATCTTTTGTTCACAATCTCAGGTAAAGGAAGATTCCAAGTTCTTGGAATACACTGCTTTTACACATGTATATTGTAGGAGAAACAAGCAGGGCGCACGACTGTAAAAGTAATTAATGACATGACAGTATAAATTACCAACAATCACTGTACAAGTACTTGATCTACCACGGGTAAAACTGAAAGGAAAGAAAGCTAGCTCAAAATTATTTTACGAGAATCTGGAAAAATCTAGTTTAGCCAGCTTACTTCCAGCATACCACAGACAAGATTGAAATTAGGGTAACTGTTATAATGCTTTCTGTTATAACAACTTTCTCCATGTATGTAACACAATTTACTCTTAAAGAACAAAGGCAATTGACTGCAAATTACCTGAAGAACTGAATGACCTGAAGAAACATGACCACATTTTCCTTTTCATCTCATGACACACTATTTTGCAAATACAGTTTCAACACCGTAGGAATAAAACCAATTTTAGAACATCCGTTGGCTTTAATATTTCCTATACTGTTAGTTAACACAAGGAAACAGCCTTCACTTTCTCACTTACATTTTTCTGTCGACTGCTAACAAGGTCAAAAGCAAGGCTTGCCCTGTACTCACTGTAGACCTGGAAAAAATCCAGCACATTGAATATGTGATTAATGTGTTTTGAAAACGTATAGAAGCAACACAATTTTAACAATACAGTGTTTCTGTAAAAAAAAGAGTTTTACAAGGCTTGTGCACCATCTGATGGATTCAGCCCTATTATGTAGCATACACTGCTGTATAACAAGGAACAGATATTGGACAAATCGGGACAACTAAGGTAAACAGTTTTCTAAAGATATGCAAGAATGCATTGATACAAATTAGGGGTGCAATGATAAAGATCTTTTTGGGCAATAACAATGATTGACTGGTATCCGCCGGCATGGCTAGTTAATAATCTCACAGCCAATATGCAGCCTGGCAGCTTGGAGATCACATATGACCCCCATGCAGCCTGGAGAGCGGCGAAAAGAGATTGGGGGATGAGGGGGGGGGGGGGGGGGAGGGGGCAGGGAAGGGTCGTGATGGGGAGGAACAGATCGAGGCCCCCACAGTGAGGAAGAGAGTGGAGCTGGGGCAGGGGCAGTTGGTGTCCAGGTAGGGCGAGGCAGGGCATGGGACGAGCCATGAGTGGCTTTTCCCGGGGGGGGGGGGGGGGGGGGGGGGGGGGGAGGGGGGATAGGGTGTGGGGGGGAGGGTAGGTTGGGAAGGGGGAATGGCTCCCCAATGCTGCATGCACCCACAGGGAAGGCATGAGGGGCGTATTTCCCTCAGATTTCATAGTGATTAGGGTCAGAAGGGACCTAAACAGATTATCAGGTCCAACCCCCCCAGCCCGGGCAGGAACGAGTGCCAGGGTCATAACACCCTAGCCAATACCTGTCCAGCCTTCTCTTAAAGACCCCCAATTTGTGCATGGGGCAAGAACAAGTGGCCCACTGCAGGCTCAGGGGCTGTGCTAGCCTCTTCCCAGCAGTGCGGGGAAGGGGGGAGGTGGAGCACCTGGGTGGGGGCTGCTCTTAGGGCAGGTGGCAGTGCTGGGAGGGGGGCTACAGTGAATTCTGAGGTGGCCACAGCCCACCCTGTAGCCCCCCCACTCCCCATGCCTCCTGCCCCAAGTACAGCCCCAGCCTAGCCCCCACACTGGGAAGAGGCTGGCACAGCCCCTGGCCCCAAGCGGGCAGCTCATCTCTGCCCCGCGCACAAATCTGGGGCAGACATGTCCCCATCTCCCCCAGGGGTGCACACAGCAGTGGGGTGCCACCCCCCACTCTTCACACCCCCTGAATGAGCTGTCTGTGGCTCCATCCCATGTCCTGCCCTGGCTGGGCAGTGCTTGCCCCTAACCCAGTCCCTCTCTCATCGTGGGGGCCTCCATCTTCCCTGCCCCATGCCCCTCCCCCTCCACAGACTTACTGGCTGCATGCTGCTCTCCAAGCTGCCTGGCTAGATTCCTGGCTGTGTGCATGCTGTGGCTGCGTGCGTGCACATGACACTTATTGGTGATATTATTGGCTATACCAGCTAAAAAAAAGCCAAATGCCAATAATGTCAATTTTCCTTTTAATGAGTGCTGATCCAATATAGACTGATATATCAGTGTACCTCTAAAACAAATGATATCTTCTTTTGTATGTTTTTCCAGAATTGCACATGTCTGAGATTGTTGGTGACAAGGTATTTAGCAGAATTTATCAGATTTGTTGGAATCTGACAGGGGTTGCAACATGAATGCTTCTACTATGGCCAATATGGCAGTTACATACAAATTTATATGACAGTATTGAAATGCAAACCTATATAATTCAGTGTTTGGATTTCAGTTTCACCAAAATGGTACTAACATCCAGTTTAAGCAAACTGGCCTCCTAAACTTCACTAGGATTCTGATCGCTGTAAAACTGCAAGATGCAACATCTGCAATTTTATCCTCCTCACTTCTCTCCTCCATTATCCTGGCACAATTCAAAATAGGCAGATTCATTCCACTTAACACCTCTTCAAAGTCGATCTGATATTGTATTCTTCATGTATATTTTTTAAAGTTGTTATAATGCACTGTTTTATCCTGCTTAATGATTATGTCTTTTACTTGTGGAGTACTGATTTTGCTTATGTAAACTCTTGAGTTTTGGGGTCTTTCATGAATGACATTACATGTCGCGCACAACAAAAAGTCTTGCATTCAAAAGCTTGTCTACCTTTATTCCAACTACAGTCGGTCCAATAAAAGATATCACCCTAAGAAATCTTTGCCTTTAGTAAATCTAGCCATAGCACAATGAAGATTAAAAGTATCATCTTTATGGTACATAATGTTTATTCGAACCGCAAACCTGGATCAAGACTACCAGAACAAAAGTATGAACCTGCTGTACATGGAAGGCAAATTATTTAAAAAAATTATTTAGTAACTAGAATTAGAAGTTATATCAAATCATAACACTCAAAAGGAACAAATAACCAAACCCCTGGTTTTATATTAAGCAAATAAAGAAAGTTGTAACAGACAAATGGGAGAAAAAGTTTAAGAAAGCTACTTAAAACATATTTTGTTATGAATGGGGAATGGTATCTATTTTAAGGATAATGAGATTGAAAACTGCAGGTCTGACTTCAACTTGCACCCCAGGTGGTCAGCCCCTCCAAAAAGTCAGGCTCAATAGCTCTACATCTTTAGAAGGCTACATAATAATAGTAAAGGAATTCCTTAAACAAAATCTCACAGGGAACCGTCCACCTCCCCCAGCTGATTTGGCACAGTGAAGCATGTTGTATTTCTGGCTATTTTCATTTCACTATTCCATTTTTCTATACTCTTTACACAAAACTAGGGCATGCATAAAATGCCTCTGGCATAAGGGAGCTTATTAAGTGTATCTATTAAAGTTGTTTCTAGACCACACAATCTAGTTATTTTATGGAGATACTGAAAATGATAGCACTTTCAAAGTTTTGACCTCATTTCCTGAAAAGGGGATTTTAGTAGCTACAAAGAAATGTTAATCCATCTCTTCTCAGATTTATAAAGTGTATTTGAATACACAATTTATTTTTAAAAGAAAAATAAAGAAAACATCTGTGCCACGTTAATATACAATAAACAATTCCTTCCAGTGCCTTAAAGGACTACATACTTTATATGCCCCAGGAAATTACAGGAATGGGAAACTAACAGCCGACCTACTTAATATTCAGTGCTGCAGGGACGGAAAGAATAACTAAAATAGCCTGACTCCAGATTCCATCTTTAAAACTGTACTCAATACAAAGATCCAATAGACTTGAAAAGAAATAGATTTTTCTGAAATTTTCATTGCATCTCATACCTACTTTGTTTAGGAAGAGGACATACTGCCTTACTAATATATAAATCAAATATTTACTTTCCATTATCCCGAAGTAGAAACTTTCTCAATAAATGATCTACTACTGTGAACTGTGACTGTTACACAAGAGTCTCAACTCTAATTTATGGATCTAGAACTATTAATTTAGAAGCAGAAGTATTTCTGGTGCATTGAATTCATTCTCAGAAGTGTATTAACAGAAAAATAATTACAAATTTACAAAATGACATTATTTTTAAATAGCAAAAGGATTACAACACTTCCTGCATTAAATCAATCTTATTTAACATTTTGTAACACTTTTTAGGAGAGTAAACTACCACAACTTAAAAATTATTCAGCAATCCAAATGTATACCTACATCTGCTGTGATGTCATTAAATTTTGTTATAAAGGCATGTTTCACAATATCTACTGCAATTTCTGATCCAATCACCATGCAAACATCTGGCAACAACACCCAAAGGTGATCTGAAGGGCAGAAAAATACTGAAGTCAGTTATACTGTAGAAGTAGATATCAGATGAACAAAAACAACCATATAGTAATTCTGCTCAGTGCAGCAGCTTCAACAAAGTATAGGTCAATCAGCTATCATGTACTAAATATACTTCTTCCCACTGAAAACAAGGCCATGGAATCTAGCCTGATATCGCTATATGCATTGCCAACCTGCTACATTAAAAGAAAAGCTAGTGTAAATTCAGTGAGAAATTTCTAAAGTAAGAAGTAAAAATTACACTACAGTCAGAAGAGACTTATTTGCACTCTTACAGTGGGTCACAGTGAATGATTTTGGGGTTCACTGCACTTGTTGGGTCTGGAGCAGAGGCCTGCAGGACAAGGAGTTGTCCCAGGACAAGCCTTGGTTTGTTTCTCGAGACAAACAGTGGGACAGCAGGGAAAAACTTGGGGTCCTCCGCAGACATGTTTGTGACCCCCCCCCGCCCCCCCCAGCTGTAGAAATATCTATTTCCTAGCATGACCTCAATGTGATTTATCTAGTGCTATCTTTACAATTATTTGCCAACAGATTTGCCTGTGGGATTACAATAGAACCGGGGTCATTCATATCGGGGCTGTCTGTAATCTTAGTTAACAGTACAATTATGTCAAAAAGTGCTGCTTCCCAGTTCAGCTGGAGCTCATCCGTTTCCATGTAGGTGCTAGGATAAATCCACAGCCATAAGCTGGAACACTTCAGTGGTCTCACAGAGCTGTTTGCTCCGACTCTATACACCCACAGTTAGCTTGTAACCCCTATTTTAGCAGAGGGCAAGGAACCTAAACCTAAAGCCATTATGGAATGTAAGCCATAACCTGTCAGTATACAGTATATACTGATATATTCTACTGTATAACTGGATTTGATTTAAGCCTGCCTGCTACTTTGTGAGGGAAGAGCCTGACTGAACCTCATTAAGGCTCTTTATCTTCTTAGTCACAGCATCTACTCAGCCTCTGCTCAGCTGTTTGCACCCCATCACCCTTATTCAGAGAGGCTTGCTTCTAACGCTAGGAATAGACATTGCATTTGTCTCTTGACAAGCTGTACCTGTGTGTGTCCTGGAGCAGAAATGTTCCAGGATTGGCATGTACACACATCTCTCGTCTAATCAGGGTTTAGTGAGGAGGAGCTGAATGCATTTGTGGTTTTCTGTCTGCTTCAATGATGCGATCCTGGGATAACTCCTCAGATGCATTTTGTGATGTCCCAGGATAAACCATTAGCATCTCTTATCTTGTGAAACGTTTAGGATTTATCCCAAGACAAATGTGATGTCTGTTTGTAGACTAATAGAAGCCTTCAAAATGCAGGACCCAGTCAGTCGGGCAGCCTCAGGGCTACAAACAGTCAGCACTGACACCAGCTGACCTATGTTAGCCGATTTTCTGACCATCAAATGATGCTGCTACATACAGCTTAGACTATACAAAGTTATACCATTTTTAAAATCTCTCACATTTTTTTCCACTGTCTTAATTACCTGGATTCCATGAGAACTGTTCCATGTTTCTTAGACACACTATTAGTAATAATACATAGTTGGTGAATCTTTCCTTTATATCTGGGGGGAGGGGAAAAATTAAAGGTAAATTCCAAAGAAAAGGTTTATTTATTTATATTACAGCAGCATCATTATAGACAAAGACAAAATCCTTCTCTTATTCAATCAGAGTCAAAGAAAACAGTATTAAAAGAAAACTGGAAGAAACTATCAGTTCTTCTGTCAGAAAGGTAAAAGTCAACCTTGACATAGAACCCTATGATTTGCCCTACCAAACCAGACTATTTGTCCTTTAGCTCGGTGTCCTCCCAAGAGCAAAAGACAATAGGCACCAACTTAAGAAGCAGCAAATTCCTCCAAACTTAACCTCCAATGAAAAAGTACAGGAGATTTGGAGAGCTGATTTTATTTCTTTCATAAGAAAGCATGTTTATTTTTGCTGCATGCAATGCTAGCCAATCTTGTAAGCTGTAAATCAACTCCAAAATTTCAGGGAATGGTTTGAGACTTCAATAAACAGAACCCTTCTAAATTTGGTGAGAAACAGGAATTTGAAAGGCAAAATAGTAGACGGGGAAAAAAGAGGACAGAGCTTCTGTCATCTGTTTAGCAGAACTGACATCTTCAACAGTATCCACAATGATTTCTTAATTAATGACACTGCTGACAGCAGCCATTAATATTTTCCACCACAACAAGACTTCTCATTTTAGCTCTTCCCATCCTCAATGAAAGAGCTATCATAGGTTACTTTCATTTACTGTGGGAGCATGCACACACATTTGGACAGCTACTTGTACAGCTGACACATGGACCTTTCCTTGCTTTACCTTTGTTAACTTATTATACACGTGCCCTAACTCTCCACCCTTGCTTACATATACCACTGATCTGAAACCTGGTCACAGTATACCAGTGACTCCATTGTGATATTTTTAACCAGTTGCTTTGAATGGTTGAAGTACCACTGCTGAATCTACTATTGAATCTATATTGTTCTGTGCAAACTCTCAAACCCATGTGACTATACTGCCATGGGGACATCACTTCTTTTTCCTTCAACACCAAAACTTTTACATATTGGCACCCACAGGAAGTATCATATATTCCAAAACTTGATGCATCATGATATCATCTGGCTCAGTGATTCTCAACCAGGGTACTGGGGCAGCTCAGGCTGCCCCGATATCCTTTGAAGAGTACCACAACGTGTGAGGAGATAAGCAGGTAAGTGCAGGCTCAGGCTTGTCCCTGCATGGACATTCCCTTGTCCCCACTGCAAGGAGGTAAGTAATGTAATCAGTAAGTTAGTTTTTGAAATGGGGTGTTGTTCAATGCATAGGTTATGGAGGGGTGCCTCGAATATAAAAAAATTGAGAGCCACTGATCTAGCTAAATCATCACCGATGCTGAGATAATTAATTTAAGGCATGCTGGCTCCAAGGACTACACTTGTTATGTATTTCAAAGCACTGGACAGTTTTCCTATTCCCAATGCAGTAGAGAAAGAAAGCAAGGAATACAACCATTTGTTGTTTCTAAAAATTGTAAGTGGCTGTATTGACCATACTGCCTCTAAAGCCAAAGTGCAACAGTGCTGAAGAATGTTCCCAAGTTGGTCAGAACAATGAAGCACAAGCCTTAGAAGGTCAACAAGCCTTTAAAAAGAACAGAATCAAAGTGCTCAAAGTACAACTTCTATATTTACTACTTTATAACAGATTCCTTGAACCAGAGAATAGTATGCAAATGGGACTGAAATTTCCAGCCATTCAGAGAACCCCTAGTTTGATTTCTGAGAATTTTCAGCATTAGTCCTAAGCACAGGTGCAAACACCAAGGACTGGTACTTCTTTCAGATAAGTATCTTTAGCAAAATAATCTCCCAGGATGTTCTGCATAATGCACCAAGCAAGCAGACAGAAAATCATTAGCATAGAGAACAAGAAAAATAAAACAAAACAAATACATGCTTGTTGAAGTAAAGGCAAAAAGGTAACATTTGCAGCATCAGAACGAAGTAACAAATATAAGAATAGAAGCAGGTCCTTTGGATTTGGCTCAGCTAGTCATTAACAACCCCACTGAGGGCTGTCTCATTAGAATGACCAGGAAAAAAACCAGCTTAGGAAGGATCAAGAACAGAATGATGAGTGAAATGAAATATCAGACAACAAGCAGTCATTTCAAGTCCTTTTACAAGAAAAAAAGTAGTATGGTGTCTGGAATGAACAACAGGATTAGAAGAATGCCGTGAAAACGGGGAGCAGGAAAATGGGAAATTACTTTTTCAGAAATAGAAAACACAGAATCCAAACTAAAAGGGCTTTTCACTTATTATAACAATGAGACAGACAGAGAGAAGAATGGAGCAGTGAAAGCAAAATCAAGAAAAACAAGTGAAAGAATGACAAAGAAAGAAAAATGAAAGCAGTAGTTAAAAGGTGGTAAAGAACAGACTGAGGTGTTTTTGAAATAATAGCATTTTGCTAATAAATACTAGACACATCTGGAAGAGAGATTTAACAACACGGAAAAATTTGGAATTCAGTGAACTAAAAGAAAGAAGCTACAAATTCATATAAGCTCCACACCACATAGATGTAAGGCTTTTCATGAAGAAACCAGTTTTTCATGAAGAAACCAGTTTAACACAGAGCAGAGCTCAAAGAAGATAAAGCAGATTTAAAAGCATATGAGAAACTACCATTCTGAGTCTCACTAGTGGTGAAGCATCTTCTCTTTACAGACAGCTTTGTTATCATTTACTAACTCCAGAACTGTATAAATGCAGTGATCATTCACCCATTTCTATAACAGAGCATATTCTTTAGATTTACTACTACTTCTTTTACAGCAAAAGCTGTGTTAACCGGCACTTTATTAGCTGGAAAACTCTACTAACCGGCATCCAAGAGACGTGGCAAAAGCGAAACTGGAAGTACCACTTCCGGGGGACTTCCAGTTTTGTCTCCGTGAGTCGAGTTTTATTTTGCCACTTCTTCAGGCCACGGCCCAGGGCAAAGCAGCCTGTGCGGGGCCCCCCTCCCTGTCCCCTGGCACACTGATGCTGGGGCGTGCACCAGATGGTGCACATTTGATTAGCCAGCATATTTGATTAACTGGCATCCCCCATTCCTGGGGCTGCTGAATAACAGAGCTTTTACTGTAATTCATATTTAGTTCATTCTTAACCTTTTTTATACAATTGTAACTACAGCCACGGTAACTACAGTCCAGATTCATTGGGAAATAGTCCTTGAGAAACTCTTATTAGAAGAGAGAGAAGTACAATAGTTGCTCTAAAGGCACAGAACAACTGTCACACTATGAATCTCCATATGCTTTTATGGAAATGGGAACAAGTTTGATGCCAGAAACATGTTACTCTGGTTGCAGATGACATCTCAGGACTACAGTAGATCCCATGGCATCAGAAAATGTAATTACAGATCCTTTAACTCCAACTGCAAGGCCTTGACTATCTGCAATATGTTGAACTGCAATGTTTTACTGCTAGCAGATCTTTGCATGTCTGGAGTGGCGAGCAGGATTTGGTGCAATTTAAATCTTTTGAAGCATCCAATTCTTTTTTTATGCAAGACATTAGGACATTCATTTTGAAACAGTAACGTAGTATTTGAAATACAAGACATATCATATATACACTCAAATCCAAGACAGTTTCCGCCCCCCATTCAACACTGGGGGGGGGGGAAGCCTCACCTTGGATTCGAGTACCAGGGCAGAACGTGCAGCTGCTGGCCAGAGCTGCCACTGCCTGGAGTCAGTAGTCAGCTGCAACTATGGTGGGTCTCAGACCAGCCAAAGGTGTGGCCTGGGGGATCAGTAGGGGTAGGTAAGCAGCAGGGGCATAGGCACTGGGGAGGCATAGGCATCAGGCCTCTTGGTCTCCCCCGCCCCACCAGCTTCCCTTATCGCCTCCCCTCTGCTGCTGCTAGCTGACAATCAGCTGATTGTCAAGCACCTTGCCAGCACAGGTGCAGCCCAGGATTATGATTTTAGGCTCTCCCTGCACTGGCAAGTAAGGCGTGATTTGGATCTGAATCACAATCCCCAAAATCCCGCCTTTTCCCATGCATCTGTGGCACATCAAGGAGGTGTGATTGTTGGAATCACGGATTAGATCCCATCATGCCTTCACGTCTGACAGCAATCTCAATGTCACCACACAGACACAGTATTAAAATATTAAACTACACCAAAAACATTTTGTTTATGTATAAACACATTCATAAACAAACATTTTATTTATTTTATATATAAAAATAAAAATGCATCTAAGTGAGACAGTTCTAGCTGTTGTTTTGTTTTGGAAACTGAAATTTCAGTGGATCAATCTGAAGACCAGGAGCACATTGCTAGCAGCAAGATTGCCCTCAGAAAGATTAAGCTTGCTTAGTAGAACATCAAGACCATTAAAATGAAGAGTACCTCAGAGTGAAGAACGACGGGCAATTAAGTCAATTGATTCCCTCAGCTACCTGAATATTAATGCAATGGCTAATACACTGTGGAGCATGAATCAAAGCACAGTAATTTTATTCTGGGCAAAAAAAAATCAGTTTCCCCACTTAATACACATACTTGAATTCTGTGGGGTTGATTTCCGGAGGAAAGGTGTATGTTGTATGTGAGAAAATATGGTATCTTAAATTTCCTTCGAGATTTCATAAAAACTCCCCCTTATTTCTAAAACTAGTGTTGATCTTCTAACGTTTTAGTACTACAGGACCCTGATTTTACAGTATGCTAATGCATTTTTGTATACTATATGCAAAGGAAGTATGAAACCAGTAGAAAAGGGTTACTACTGTATATATAAACAATCATACCACTGTGCTTTCTTCATTCAGTGAATTTGCATTCACTGTGCTTATCTTCATGCTAGCTTTAATGTTGGATTAGTATTATTACACCTCAAATTTAAAAAACCCGTGAAAAAAAATCCCAATTAAAATTTGCTATATTCTATGCCTAAAAAGATAAAATATTGTAATTTACGAGTATTCTATAAATTGTTCCAGCAAGAGTTAGTTACTGAACAAACTAACTTGCTTTGTGCATTCTTGCATGTGCTCCATAACCATCTGGTATAATGCATGGCCTTACTTTGCCCTACGGCAAGGAGGGAAAGTTTACATTAGAGACTACAACAAAGAATACCGAAGAATAAGGTAGAAAATATATATTTGCCCTCTTTTGTCATGGTACTGTTGGTCATTAGTCACAAAAGAAATAAGAAGTGGCTGATAATCATAGCCTTCAGTCATTTTAAGAACTTAACTAACCCATGAACTAGAATTAGCCTTATGATTTCATATGGTACAAAAAAGTAACTGCGCGAATATTACAAATCTTTACAGTGAATGTTCTCTCAAATTTAAGAGTCTGCTTTAGCCTCTCAGACCCTTTCTGTGAACTTTCAGGTAATCAAATTTTACCTGTACAAATGTGATTACATTAATTATCATTATACCCCACATTCTACTGTTTAAATTTAGTATTTAAGGTACATCAGAAATTACCCCAGTTTCAACTAATTAAAAGTTGCCTTTACTATATCAATAGTATTAATTTTCTGGCTCTTGCAGACTTTTATAAAAAGATAAGAGTAATATAGCATACTGTAAAAGGATACTTATTTAAAAAAAAAAACAATTTATGTACTCAAATATGCACCATGAAAACACTGATCTTTTCAGTTACATACAGCAGCATCACACCAAATTTGTAAGAGTGTAAAGTGAAGTAGATGGAAACAATACCTTTGGTGCAACAAATGCAAGCCAGATGTTCAAGCACTAAAAAAGTTCGCTAAAATTTGGCTTTAGAAACTATCAAAACTATTTCTTATATATAAATACATTTCTATAGGTAATTATTGGCCTAATTTAGATGGAACTGCCTGTTCTTTTTTTTAAAGTAGAGTCTCAGTGAGAAAATGAAAGCTTATTAAATGTGTGTTTGTACACTCCCGTAAAAATTAAGTAATTTTTGCCTATGATGTCATATACCCCTCAAGTTTTTGTCCCCTTTTTTTTTTGTGCCAAAGGTCTGATAAGAAACCAGGCATAAAGAACCCTCACTATTGTCTCAACACAGTTCTATAGCTCAAGGCATCAAAACATTAAATAACAAAGTACTGAAGCCATTATCTTCTAATATTTAGTATAAACAAAATACTTCAGCCAGAGGCTATTTAAAGCACCTTTTCCTGGAGGAGCAGTTAATCTAGTTGAGAATTTTTCCAAATTTCTATACTAATATTCCACAAAATGGCCATGAGAACCAAAAGTACAAACTTTGTATCTTAAAGCCTCTTGAAGTTTTAAGTTTGTCTAATTTGTAAATAATTTTGCTATAACGTTCTAAAAAACTGCAATAATTTATAACTAACTTTTCTCCAAGACTATTTATTGGACTACATTGTTTTATTCTTGTGAGAAAACATGCTATTTTAACATTCATATATGCCCTCAAAGTTCACCAACATAACGATGACCCTATGACTTCTGCCAACGTCATTGTTAGACAGCATGGACAGGATCTTCCGAATAGTCATTTGAGTGAATACAATATTTCTGACCCAAAGCCTCATTTTAGTCCTGTTGAACAATGCAGTAACAGAAATACAGAATTTGGGGCAGAGTGATCACACTTCAATATACAGCTTATACATTTAAAACTATAAACATAATGGAACAATTTTCTAAAAAATGGTAAATTTAAAATTACTACTTTGTCCAAACCATGCAAATATACATACCACTATTTGACATTTGAAAAAGATTGTTCTTCTCAAATTTCTTGAAAACACTTCCTTTTATTTCAACAAACTGTAATTTTAAATACCAACAGTTAGTTTCTTTACATATATGGAATTGATATTCAATATATACTTTTTTCATTAAAAAAAGCCAATCAAGTCTGTATACATTCTGTGTCTTGGGTCATTTAGGATACGTAAGTGAAGTTAGTCTACTCTATAAACATCAATTCCCATGGAACAATAACACTAAACTGTCATCTATTTATTATTCAAATCTTGAATAACTATATTTGTCTGAAGTACACATTCAATTTACTCCATTTACTTACATTATTAGACATCATGATAGTAAGCAGTGACTTATTGTGGGAGTTGAAAGCTACATTAAGGGTAGTTGCTTGCACCATTATAAGAATGGCATGCAAGACTGAAGACAACAATGTTAAGGTAAATGACATTTGAAAAGTGCACTTCTGTGTAATTAAGAAATACCAGTATTACCACAAATGTCAAAAATATTCTGCTTCACTTGTCCTGGGCTACATCAAGGTTTCCTGTTAAAGGAAGAATTATTTGAGAGAAGAGAGAGATTATTGTCATTCTCTGTTGCCAGTACCTAGTAATTCTAGGACCATTACTCTAGCTGCTAGTTTTTGCATCTTTTCCCAATCAATATTAAATTTTATTAGGGGCAGTATTCTTGCTAGAGAGAGAAAAGGAGTTACTTATCAAATGGAGGGTCTTTGAAATATGCTGTCCCTGTGTACAGTCCATTATGAGACATGCATAAGCTCCTTCTGCCAAAGATCAAAGATTCTGCTAACTGCTGTGTATGGTCTACACAGGTACCCCTGAACACCCTCACACACACACACCACACCAAGGCACACTGAGGGAAGTGCAAGACCCATCACTATTTCAGTTGATTCTTTGTCACAGGCATAAATGTAAATATGACAGGAATGAAAGCAGAGGAAGGAGGACACAGGGAAATATGCAGGTACAATATCTCAAAGAATTCTTTGCGTACTTGCCCCTGGGTGTTTTCCATTGTAGGAACCTCCTAACCTGCATATCAAGTAATAGGTGGGTGGATGCTCAGAGCCTTGCTGTAGAACTGACCACAGTACTGCCCAAACACAAGACTCAACAAAAGCAGATGCCTGTACTGTACACTGAAAGCAGGAGTAGAGCCCCGCTTTGCTATCCTAACAATGGGGATATTTTTAAAGGGGAACTGCCTTGCACCCTAGTTTAATTATGAAAAAACTTTCATAGTTTTAGGAGTCAAGAGTATCAGAAAGACCGTAAGAATTCAAAACAGCTCAAGAACCAATTCAGAATCTGTGAGAGGAAGAGACAGGCAAATAATCTAGGAAAATTACCTGAAGGGATCTGTTCTGTACAAGTAAGAAAATAAAATAAATTTTAAGACTTTTAACATCCAAGTAATGAACTGCTGCCTTTTCCCAGCTGGCATAAGGTTTCAGACAAATGAGCAGCTAAATAACTTAAAGGTGAAATTCCAAAACTATACTAGACTAGAGTCTCCCAGGCATTGATGTTAATAACACATTTCTTCAGATTGGCCTTCAAGGTGTCCTCAAATTTCTTCTTTTGCCCACCCCTAGAGCTGTGTTTATTGGTGAGCTGGAATATAGGACCTGTTTCAGGAACTGGCTGACAGGCATCCTTATGACTTCCTATCCAATAGAACTGGTACTGTATAAAACACAGCTTCTCGTGGCATCTGCTTGGGCCAGAACACTGGAATTTGTTCTTCTGTCCTTCCAATTGATATGGAGGATTTTCTAAAGACACTGGAATGTCAGGCCTTCAGGTGTTTTCAGTATGTTGTCCAGGCTCCACACCCATACAACAGGGTAAGGATGACAACAGCCTGGTAGATGAGAAGTCTGGTTTGGGTCCTAATGTCATGATGAAAGACATGATATGGGGGATGTGTAAAGGCAGCACAGGTAGATTTTATTTATGAACACTATAACCCTGAATTTATATTCTGGCAGGTTAAAAGCTTTTCAGTCAGCCATTAAAATATGAAACATTGGAAATGGTATTTTTTTTTTTTATAGTGTTAATACATAATTTTAGGAAAACTGACATCTTGAAATATAAACTGTATAGTAGTTGTGCTTTAAAGTAATCAACTCGAATATGTTGAGAATATTTTGTAACTTGAAAGGATACAGACATACAGCACTGCCATGAAGAAGTGAGGAATCACACCTATATGAGCTCTTTTTCTCTCTTTAGGTTCTGTAGCCGTCCAGTAAAGAGCATCCAAAATATCTTGTCCAAAGGAGGAAAACAGACGATCAGCCACCTAAAGACAGAGAACTTTTAATATTTCTAAATAATATTTGTTCTGGCAAAGTTATTTGCATACATTGCCATAATTAATGTCCAACTCACAAAACAGTCTTCAAAATTAATTTATTTTTCATAGCTCATCTCCTCCCCTCATTTTTACTCTATGATTCTATTTCCACTAAAAAAAAATGTCCAAGTCTCTACTGTAGTTGTGGGTATCATATAACTAACGGTGTTATTTCCTCTCAAGTCAACTACCACTATCTCAGCAGGACTTGGATGTGAAACCCCGATTTATTAAAATTAAATCCTGGACCCTGGATAACGCACTCAACTATGACAGCCTATGTAAAAGTACACCAGATTGTGATTCAAACTTTAGTCTTTCATGAAGCAAAGTATATCAGCATGCATCACCTTTTATACCCCAAATGATTTAAAAGCAAAAGGTCATGATAAATAGCAAACTGGAGGAAAGAAGGAAGTATCTAATAGGGTGCTACAAGGATTAGTGTTTGGTTTGGTTCTGTTTAACACCATTGCTAAAGATCTGGAAAAAGGAACAAATTAAAATTAAATTCACCAGAAAACATCTAATTGACAGAAACAAAAAACCCCCAAACCCACAAAACAAACAAACAAAAAACCCAGGAAGGAAAATGGCACACTGACCTAGGCAGATTAGAAACAAGTGCAGAAAATGAGAACTGATTTGGAAAACTACAAATATCTGAGGAAATGTAATCCAAAATATATGCGCAATGAGGCAGAAATCAAGAAACTGATAATGCTGAAAGGAACATAAAATAGTAGTGGTTAGCAAATTCTGGCTGTCTGTAAATTCAATACAGCAGCAAAATAGTCAGTGGGACTATATGCCCTATGTACTCAAATCCAAGATAAGGTTTCCCCTTACCCCCAAATCAGCATGGGGGTAGGGGGGGGGGTAGAACCTCATCTTGGATTTGAGTACCAGCCTAGGGGAGGAAGTTGCTCAGCTCCAGCTTTGGCCCTGGGTTCAGGGCTGAAACCAGAGCTGAGCTGCTGCCTATCCTGGGCTGGAATGGCTCATCTGGCAGGGGAGAGGGCATGCAGTGGGGTGGGGGGAGCAAGGGGGAGACCACAGAGTGTGGAAAGGAACCTGCAGCCTTCCCTCCCCCACCTCCTACCCCGCTGTGCCTGTGCCTGCTCCCTCCCCCCACCCTCTGCTCCCTCTTACCTTCTGTTCCAGGTCAGATCCCTCCAGGCCAGACTTGACCTAGGCTGGGAGCTGCCAAAGCTTCTCTCTGGCCGGGCTGAGCTGGGCCTGGGATGGAACCACTGCTGCAGCTAACTGCACCAGAGGAGCAGAGCTATAGCAGATGGTAAAGGGAGTTTGGCAGGCAGCAGGGGGCAGGAAGCAGCGAGCAGGCACAGGCATAGAGGGGCAAGCAGCAGGGGGGATCAAGGATAAGGGATCTGGCCCCTTACCACCCCCACTGATGCTTTCC